AAAATCCAAAATGGAATGAGGGAATCTGAAAAAAGGACACAAAAAAAGAAATGCAGTTCCCAGTTCAGCAACTGTCTCTAAAGAACCATCCTCAGTTTTACTGAGAGATGCCGTAACAATCCTTTAGGTCATTTCTGTATTTGACCTACAGCCTTCATTAAAAAATTCAGTTCTAGCTATATTTGAAAAATCAGAAACACTTATTAAAATGTTAATTGAAAGCTAGGAAGACAGAAGTGTGTGTAGTGACGAACTAGCCGGGTATGACTGTCTCTACAGAGAATGTTCATATTTCTTGACTCAAGAGTAAAAAAAAATAGACGTCTATCATCAAGAAACTAAGGAAAAATTTTGTATACAAACATATAGGGAAAAACAAAGATGTAACCACAGTAAACAAAACTCCCCAAAGACAATGAAAAGCTAAGGTTGAAAGTTGAAACACAAAACTTTCAGAAAGGCTGCTAGTTTTAATATTCAATCAAAACTGATTCAGGTCCTTCCACCTGTTGTAGGAAACTTTGTGTTGTAGGAAAGCAGGAAGGACTGTTCCCAATGACAAATAGAAAGACTGCTCTGAGGCAAAATTTGGCAAAATCTTGGCAAGGTTTTCTTCACAGTAGACCTCATATAGAGGCTTTCAATGCCTATGTTCTGTCTTGCACGATGCAGTAATTATTGTTTGAGGAGTAAGTATGTTTCTCTTTTATTTTTCTCTATCAAGGACATCAGAACTTCGGCTATTTTATTTTAGACAGAAATTTAGAACCCAAAGTGTCAGGAGGCCCTGGAAAGAAAGCAAGTCTTAGTAAAAGCTGTAAAGTATCTTGCTTGCAGTGCTAACATCAGAGTTCTCAGCATATATAGACATCATTCTACCAGACTTCAAATAATTAATTAAACCCAACAGAGCAATAATTAGTTATAATGTTAAAATAAATTATTTCCAACTTGTTATCCTACAAACCATAACCCTACCAAAATTATTCTACACCTCAGAATTTTCAAATATTAAATATTTAAAGTTAATTATAAATTTTTAATTAGCCTCTTTAATCATCATTTACTCTCCTAACTCTTTAGAAAACTCAGATATGCTTTGTTTTTCAATTGTTCTGTTCAAATTTCAGTTTGTTTGTTTTTCTAAACAATGCAGCTCTTCTCTAAGGCTAATGTCAAAATAAATTTGTATCACTGATCTAGTTGGAAGCCTATGAGGCATAGCATCACCATACTGAACTTAAGCACTTCAGAGAAATAACAACTCAAAAAGACAGAAAAGTAAAAGCAAAATCTGTTTAATCCCATGTTTTGGTTTGCCTTACTTGATTCCTATCAGTTTGCAAAATGAAGTTGAAAATCCCTGTTGTGTACTGGCATTTCCTGTGGCATTAAATGCGGTGGGTGACATACAATAGCATTTTTATGACACAGCTAATACAGATACACCAATATTTTAGTTATGATGGTTCATTTTAAGGGCAGTTTGCAACTGGCCTTATATACTCTCTGGCCAAGAGTCAACAGATTTGGTAGCTGACCTTTTTGGAGCAGAACAGAGAGTAGTATCTTTTTGATTTAGCCAAAATATTAAGCCACAACAAATTTTTGATTCTTAACACTCAGATTTTACCTCCTAAATTTATCAATGACAACTTCAGCCAGCCTAAAATCAAAGACCAACTTTTCCTGGATTTAATTAATTTTTTTGCAAAATTGTGATACTGGAAAAATACAGGGAATATGAATAAAAACTTACATTCCAGCAATCATACTGAGTCACAGATTGCACATGATACTGTATTATCATTAATGGGAACTACTATATTTAGTGAGGAAAACAGAAACATCGCAAATTGCTATCAACTCAACACAAAGCTTAGAATGACATTTTATCAATTTTGTGAACCAACACTGCCATGTGACAACTGTGTCCTTAGCTCCAATCCACCCATCATTTCCATTGTGCCATCTCCCTCTCCAGCACTATAAACACATTTCAATCATCTCCGATGGCAGTAAGCCCCTTCCCATTTCCAACACATTTTTCCCCTAAGCACTGTTATTCTTCACAAGATGCTAACCAAGGGGAAAAAAACCCACACTGGCAAATAGATGATGCAAAGGGACGCTGTCATCCATCTGCTGACTTGCTGATATGAAAAATGACAGGAGAAAGAATCCTACTGGCATCAATGACTATGAGAGTTTTGGGCAACTGAAGTGTCCAGCCTAAAAAGCTGATGTGACTGAGGGCCTCCCCATTCACACCGTGAATGCAGAGAACCTCAAGGGCTGGGACCTGAAAAGATATGAGATTCAGTTTAGGATCCTCTGACGATTTAGGAGGTCATGGGCAAGAGTCAAACTTATTCTTCCAAGCCTTTTAAGAAGGAAGCTTATGAAGTGAGAATATTCCAGTGCTTTCAACACTTACAGAAGAAAATACCACTTAACCCTCTATATAGTAGCTTACATTATCAATCCAGTAATGCAATATCTAAAGGAGAAAGTATTCATGGTAAAAACTCTAATGTCACCTTCATGTTCAAGGGAATATATGATAGTCTGGAAGTTATTATTTCCAAACTCACATGTTGAAATTTTCTAATTGACTGCTCATACATTTCAAAATGATTTTTTAATTATCAACTGAACAAGCTAAATTAACCCTGAAACTTGTAGTATTAAACTGCTTTTACTTACCTATCTACTGATCTCTAAATAAGACCTACCCATTACAGTAACAGCTTCCACTCTGATGAACAGCACTCTGTTTCAATTAACACCCCTGCACAGAGCTGCTAGAGATGTAGCATCAACCAACCTGACCCCTTACTGTGTGGTGGTATTTGTGTGTGCAAATGGACACACAGAGTTCTCAACACATTTACACTCTGATGCCAAAAGTGTTTCAGGAGCCAGGGATTATGCTTAGGGAGCTTTCCATTAAATTCCCACTGAAGAACAGATGACTTGCACAGACTTGGGCAAGTCTCAGTACTTGTGCCTCAGTATCTCATCTTTAAAACTGCGTTAATATCATCTCCCCATTTCATGAAAATACTGTAACTGTAAACACTGTGAAGTCATGAGATACCAGACTAACAAGGTCAAGATGTTCATACCACCTTTGTATGTAGCTGTGGATACTTGTGTTTTATTAGTAGTAGTAAAACCATTTTGGAAACTTAACTCCATTATGAGGAAACACTGCAAGAGAATCAGTAACATATACAGTGACGAAAAGAAAACACATGTCTATTTATCCTATGAAACGACTTTTCGTATGAAGCCTCAGTAATGCATTCATCAGAATCAAAACAAAGCTTGAAAACTGAAACTATCACACAGAAAACCCAAACACAAAACCCCAGGATATATTCTCCAAAGCTATTACTACCTGTTAGTCAGTGGGCAAATAACTTTTAAAACGTACACTGTACCATGAAATTTTAGTTTTATTGAAACCTAGCTGGTAACATCAAGATGCTTCCTGGTTTGTATGACGTGTAACCTGAAAGTTTCCATATTTGCCCATTCTTAAAAATACTCCATTTTTAATACCTACAGATACACATACGTAGCATTTTCTATTGTCTCATATATAATCATGAACATCAAAAACACCTAAAAAAATAATTTCAAGCAGGAAATAATGCCTTGCAGAAATGGCAAGAGCAGCTAAAGTAATTCAGATTGTCTTTCCCTTCTTTCATTTTAGAAATGTTATATCCATAAAGATATTTCTTCCTGGTGTGACACATTCTGCCTACAAAAGACCCGAGAGGTTTTTTTCCATTTCTGTTTTAATGAAAAACTGTAATCCAGAGCTGTATTCTGACAGTTTCTGTCTTTTTAATGTCACTGTCTTCCTTTAAATTGTGCAGATTATAAAGGACAGGTCTGCAGAATAACACAAATATGCTGGTGACCCAACTCCCAAGCCACATCTTTCTAGAAGTTAAGTTTACAGTGAATCCAGTCAGATCTCTCAGTCTGCTGGCAACATGAAGTGTGCTCCTACAGTGTAACCTCTGCTCCAGTTTCATCCAAGAGGAATCCAGTTCACCCATCTCAAAACTGCTCCAGAATATAAGCAAAAGAATATAAGTCAGTGGGGTCAACCATAAGATTCACCAGTCCAAAATAAACAGCTAACACAAGTGTATTTATCATGAAGACCAAATTCAATCTCTAGAACTACTAGGATTTGGCACTTCCTGACTTCAGTGAAATTATTCCCAATATGCGCAAAGTAAGTAAAATCAGAATACAAGTTTAAAGGAAGTTAATAGTATATATCTTACATCATCTAACATATGTGAAAAAAATTCAGAAACTCACCATATCAGTATCTGAAACTGGTCCAAAACTGGTCACATAGATGTTAGTGAAGACTTCAGTAATACTATCTGATATAAAAAGAAAAAAAAAAGCAAACATATTAAATTTATAGTACTTCTTCAAGCTCTCTATGCAAAATTATGGGACATTTTGAACAATTTTCTGTCTTTCTTACTTCTCCTAAGCAGTACCCAGTTGTAAGTACTAAGGGTCTCCACCCCACTTACACAGAGGTTACCAGATGATAGTTTGTCCCACTGAGTAGTTTGCTTCAGTTAAAGGACTATACAACCATCAGCAGCTACAGACATATTTCCCATTTCTCCACCAGAAAAAATAACCACACTGTTTTGGACTTAACACAGCACCATAGTTCTAAACATGAAATGCCTTTGTTGCAGAGGTTCTCTCTGTTGTTGCAGCCTAGTTCAAGGCTGTTTTCTTCATCCTGAATAGCTTTTTCAAAGCCAAAGACATGAAAAAGCTTACAAAGCAATTATTGACTACACCAAATGTAACATTCAACTGCATCCTACTTTTTAATTGAGTATATTCTTAAGTGGCACATATTTTAACATAACAGTTCCTTCTCTTGATACACAAAGCTCCTGATACATTGCTGTAGTACTGTAAATACTGTAAGAAAATGTTCTTCCTAATCATTGTAGTCAGACAGCCATGAAATCAGAATATTATATATTGTACTGCAAGGATAAATAATTGCTGAGTTTTCTATCTTCAGTTTTCAATTAGACTCAAAATGGAATGATATTCACTAAGAGGGATAGCACACAGAGGAAATTTCTTACAGCAGTTGCCAACTACTGTCTGAACTCAAGAGAGTCAACACAAGGAATTCTCCACCTTAAAGCTAGTTGCTGGCTGGAAAATAAAAAATCGAATACAAGTAGCTGCAAGCTACAAGTTGATTCACTCCAGAATTTCCCATTCCTATAAATACAGCTGCCTGTTATATGAGTGATCTTGCTGCTATATAATGATTTCCATATTTAATCATTATTTAATATGGATAGCTAATAATTTCTATATTCCTAAGCTATCTGTTCACAAACACGTGGCACAGGCAGATTTTTCTTTTGTTATTGAGGCCAACAGTATAATCACTGCCCTCTATTGGGAGAAATTAGAAGTGCTCACCCATGATAGCAGATGCTCTAACAGGCACCAGACAAAGGCAAGGCTGTTCCGTAAGCAGCTGCATGGAGAGCAGTGTATTTTGAAAGGGATGTAGCTGCACCCAAGGCAGAAATGGGGTGATAGAATACTTTGAGAAATCTTCTGGAGATTGGGGAGGCACATTCCCGCACTCTCAACTTAAAGGAAACTTGAATTTCCTTCCCCAGCTGAACACTAGATGTTCTTACTAGAACAAAGGGCTTTGTAAAGCATCTCCTATCCAAAAAAATCTTCTTTCCAGGATCATCTTTGCTTTTAAGCCAATAACTGAAGGCTGACTCTTATTATGTGTCACTCAAAATCATAATCACGCTTCCCCTACATTTCCAGAGAGATGTTCATTTGTGTGATAGAGACTTCTGTAATCCCATATGCAGCATCCATATACAAGCTGAGTTGATTTCTATTCCAAACATTTTACAAATTAATGTTAAGTCCATGGACAACAAGAGGAGCTGAGTCTGCACTGTTCTTAGTATTCAACAAGGATAACTATGGGTCTGGCTGAAATATTATACAGAAATCACAGGTGCAGTCCAGAAAACCAGTGACTGCATATTGCCTGTGGGAGACTTTCCAGAAAAAAAGATTATTCTCTCCAAATGGATACCTGGCACAGCTGACATGAAATGGAAAAGTGACAAGAGACCTATTCTTCAGGGGGTAAAACAGTGCTGCAGGGACTAACTGTGAAATTTGGCCTGTGCTATAACGACAACACAAAATCTTAATTACAATTCCATGAAACACACTGTTGTTACAAAAATATGACTGACAGTCAAGCATCCCCACAGCAGAGAATGAAGGATAATTTCAGTTTGTCCTGGGTTCAGCTACAGCAGTC